CATGCTCCCCTCTTCCATTAGGTCTACTCTCCAGTTCTTTTTCTAATAAAGTAGGCTTTCCAGCTCGTTAATTTCCAGATCTTTATATTTTTTTCCTCCCACTCCCTCCAGATCTTTATCTTAATAAATATTTAAAAGAAAAAAATATGTAAAAGAAAAAAAATATCTGCTTCTGCTGTGATTTTGGCAGAAGTTCCCGAATGGCCCGCACGCCCGCCCACTCCTCCCCTGTTGTCTTGCACCTGGTCAGTTCATGTGTCCTCGCTGCCCGGGCCCCTGTAGATTTCCACTCACACTCCACAGCTGTCTAGGAGCCCCGAACAGGGGCCTGGTACTATTCCAGGAACTTGAAAAGCCGGCAGTGAACAAAAGGGCAAGACTGTCCCAGTCTGATCGGAGTTTTGTTCTAGTGAGTGACGTTGACAACCCTGCCTTGAACCACACCCATTAGCATCCTGGCTTGGTCTGACTTCCCCACCGACAGGGGTAGAAGAGGTCAAGGTGGGGTAGAGGCAAGGAAAGACCCCATAGAAACCACACAACTGGGTAGGGTTCTGACCTGACCTTGGATTTCCTTTTTCATGACTATCATAATCTTTATCTTGGGTTTGAATGAAAGTCAGATGAGGCTTTGTTGCTAGCAAGAGGCTCTAAACCCGACGTGACCGTGCCCTTGACGGAAGCTGAGCTTCTCATCTGTTAAAGATGTAGTTCTGAGGCAGGGGGCTGGCCTGCATGGCTTGTCAAGATTCTCTGAAGCCAGGGGAGGGCTGATCCTTTCTAGAGGGGGAGGACAGCTTTCTGGATTAGGTCAGGATTAGGTCATGATCAGAGCCATCAGGGGCCCACCCCGACCTAGGGCCATCTGCCCAAGGAAGTGTTGGTAGGAACCCAAGGAGGGCAGGTTGAGGAGATCCTCCACTGGTTGCCATCTGTGCTCTGAGTTGTCCTTGGGTGGGAGCTCTTGTAAAGTGTCAACAATGCCAACTTCTTCTTATCTAGAAAGAGACTAACCTACAGCATGAAGAAGGGGATTAGTCCCAGGGAGGGACTTCCTTATGCAAAGGACTAGAGCTGGGGAGGGAGGCTTGTGGCCACAGAAGGAATTCTCCAGCATGGCTGTTGTGCAGTTTGTCCCAGACTGGGTGGGACAGAGCTAGATCTCGAGACGGCTTGCTGTGTGTTGTTTAGAGAGAGTCATGATGATTTCGTTCCTCCGGCCTGGACTGGCCTCGGTGGGGACACAGCCTATGGGCACAGACTCTTCTGACTGCAGTGGTTTGCCAGGTCAGCTGCCACTATCATTTCAGCTAGATCCCCGAGTCTGCAGCTAGCTCTTATGGTCATGGAAGACCTCTTTTTCTCTTTCCACTGCCTCTTCCAGGACTGATGTGATCACAATGTATTTTTTTTTTTTTTTACAAAAATGTATAAATGAGAGGATAACAACATTGGGTTAGTTGAATATCAGGGGCTAACAATTCTTGAGCACTTTGAGACGCAGCATGTTCTTGAGGACTACCTAATTCTTGTAATGATGGGTATCATATATAGCACCTACCCTCCAAATGCTATCATTCCCTTTTGACAGATGTAGAAGTGGAGGCACAGAGAAGTTAAGTAAGATGCCTAGGATTGCACAGCATAAGGGGCAGAGCCAGATACACAGTCAGGCAGTCAGGCAGTCTGTCCTTAGTATCAGCGTGTTTTACAGCACCTCAGTCACCCTTAGAGGAGGGGACTGTGATGATTCCCATTTCGGAGCAGGAAACCAACCAAATTGCTTTATCACTTGTAAGCATCAGCAAGCATGTCTTCTGTGACCACCTAAACATATTTAGGATGAAACAAACAATGACAACTTTCAAGCTTCATTTCTATATGTTTTTTGCCAAGAACACTTAACCCTCACCCTGCCACAGAGGCAAGCAGGGTGGAAATCTTGACCTTCCTGTTTCCCAGCAGGAAGTAGTCAGGGATGCAAAGCCAGGGCTCCCAGCACAGGGCTGTGGCTTCCTCCACCCAGTGCTGAGGCCCCGGGATTCTCTGACTTGGGAAGTGGAAGACGGACAAGGGCTGAACATGGGCTGCCCTCGGACACATCTGTGTGCTGCCAGGACTGGAGTGATGAGATTCCTTATTCCGTTCGTGGCTGGGCAGCCCTGGATTTGGATTGGCAGAGCACCTATGGTCCCCTGCCTCTGAGTTGAGGAATGACCCTAATCGTGTGCTCCTTTGTTTTGAGATCTAGAGGAGGAGAGTGGGTCAGGGGAGGAGGAAGGCTGCTGGGTCTGAATCCTCCAGGAATTGCAGGGTCACATCCTGCCCTGCTGGTCCGAAGTGCTGTGGCTTAACCAGCCTGGAGCCTTAGCCTTCAGTCCCCTGGAGGCCCCTAGGAAGGAAGAACAGCACTGTGTCACCAGGGAGACACCCCAGCCTCTCAGAGCCTCATCTGTGAAAGTGGCGAAGGGCCCTCTCTACTGAAAGGTCACTCGCAGGGTCCATGCAAAGTTCAAAGACCACACCACACACTGGAATCTCACGCAAGAGATTTATTGTCAGAAGCATGAAGCAAACCCACAAGGCTGTGGCTCCCAGGAGAGCAGCCGCCTGTCGGCCCTCACAGAGCTGCTTTATAGCCCCAAGAGGAATTCCATAAGCTGCTTAGGAGTTGTGTCATAAGCTGGAGTGGGGCTGATCGTTTAGCAGGCACAGGTTCTTGTGGGAAGTTAAGCAGCACTGCCTCAGAATTGAAACCTGGGAGCCTCTAGATAAAATGGCAAATCTGATGCCAATATTCCTCCTTTTTGTTTTTAGATACTGGGGCTGGGGACGATGGTCTTTCTTCTGTAGCTTCTTCCTGTTGGTTAGGGGCGAAGAATCTCATTCCTGTAAAGGGGGTCACGGAGGGTTTTAGGTAGGGGCAGAGTCTCTGGAGTTGGAGGAGTTGGAGGAGTTGTATGTCTCCGTCTTGGGCGTCAGGGGCTGGTAGTCTTTGTAGTGGCCTCCTCTGACCTAGAAGAGTCTTCTTTAGGAATCAGCGGGGAGCTTTGGAGGGTTGAAAGTCAAGGTTTTGGAAATGTACAAAGACAGAGGTCCTGTGGGGGTTGCCGTATAGTGAGATGGTGTGAACAGTTTGAGATGGGAATTGTGAATCCAGTGTGGAATGCCCTCGAGTTTGGCTGCAGAGGGGGTAGTTAAGATTACCCTGAATGTCCCTTCCATTTTGAGGTTAGTGAAGGAGGGAAGTGTGATAGGGAAAGAAGAGGACTAGAGAGAAGAGGACTCCTGGAGTCAGAGGAGCATGGGGCCTTAGGATTGGGCAGCAGTTGATCAGCATGGGCTCAGAGTAAATTTCTGCGTCAGTGTGAGAGGGGTCATTAGACGAGCGGGGGGGTTGGTGAGCTAATGCAGGAGGAGCATGGGGCGACTGTACATTAGCTCGAAGGGGGAAATGTTTAGGGGTTTTCTTGGTAGGGCCCTAACCCTAAATAGGGTCAGTCTAAATTTAAGTTTAAGCCAGTCTAAATGTAATTCTAGTGATAGTCTAGCCAAGGTTGATTTTAGGGTTCGATTGGTTCGTTCCACCTTTCCAGACGACTGAGGATGGTAGGGAAATGTGAAAGGCCAAGGAATATTTAGGGTCTTTGAAATGATTTGGGATATTTGGACGTAAACTCCAGGCCATGGTCAGTCTGCAGTGACCAAGGCAACCCAAAGCAGGAATGATTTCTTCTGTTACGGTGTCAGCTACCATTTGGGCCCTTTGATTTGTAGTCGGGACGCCTCTGTCCAGCTGGGGAAGGTATCTACCAGGACCAGGAGATACTTAAATCTCTTTACTGTGGGCATATGGGTGAAGTCCATCTGCCAATCAGATGCGGGCAAATGGCCCTGGGTTTGATGGACCGGAAGGCAGGGAGGCAAAGGTTTGAGTGGGGATTAGACCTTTGGCAGGTGTCGCAAGAGACAGAGAAGGTCTTTAGAAATGTTGAGTCCTGGGGCAGAGGGGAATATAGAACTCCATGAATTCTCACAGGGCAGAGGTTGGGTGAAAGAGGTGAGGTAGGTAAGTTAGTGGTGGTTGGGGTTTGGATCTGAGTTGAGGAAGGCAGTGTCCTGACGGGGGCCTCTGCGGAGGGACCTAAGGCTGCCTGTCTTGCTGCCTCATCAGCTTCGTGGTTTCCCTTGGAAATGGGAGAAGTGTCGGTTTGATGGGATCTGCAGTGAGGTCTTCCTTGCAGTGGGGAGGTGGGAGGCCTCCAGCAGGGGCACGATGTAGGAAGCATTAACCAGTGAGGTCCCCTTGGTGGTGAGGAGTCCCCTCTCCGCCTCCTGTATGGCTGAGTGTGACAAGAGAATGTGCAAAGCATATTTGGCATTGGTGTAAACATTAAGGGTGTAGCCCTGAGCTAGGGCGAAGGCCCCCCCGTGAGATAAGTTCCACCTGTTGGTTGGAGGCATTGCCGGGTAGAGGCTTGGCCTCAATGATTTCATTAAGGATACTACAGTGAATCCAGCCCTGCGGGTGCCCTCGTGAAAAAAAAGAGCTTCCATCAGTAAACACTGTGCAGGTGGCCTGTGGCAGGGGCCTCTCTCGAATGTGGGTAGGGTGAGGTAGAAGCTCTTCTAGGGTCTACACAGGAGTGGAACAGAGGATGGGAGTGTTTTGAGGGAGAAGGGAGAAGACTGGCCAGATTAATCGGTGGACAGGGTTGAAAAGTCGGTGTAGAATCCTCTACGAGGGCAACTTTATGGGAAAGAATCCTGGAGGGAGGAAGAGTTTGGAGGCCTTTGAATTCCCAGAGGTGATATGGAGAGTGAACTGTGATAGGAGATCCAAAGGTTAGTGTTTTTGATTCCTGTACAAGGAGAGCCGTTGAAACTAAAGCTCTCAGGCACGTGGCCCAGCCTTTAATGGTTATATCTAGTTTCTAGACCTGACAAACAGCCCATTTCCTAGGGCCTCTTCCTGAAACAGATGTTTATTCTTTTGGCAGGAGCTGGAATGCGCTACCTTCCCTTCTTCTGAGCCCTCCTTCTGCAGGACCGAGCTCGACAGAACTTTTGTTGTTTTGCCTTTTGCTCTGGAAGGAAAGAAGCAGACAATGAGGTATGTGAAATGTTGAAATGATTTGCTTCTGCCAGGCCTGGGTCACTGTGAACTTTGAGCAGGCTGCCGCCTGGACCCACCTGGGGAAGGATCTATTCCCCTAACCGCTGCCTGGTCCCTGCAGTAGTTTTGGAAGGGAACCAAGTCCCTTTCTCCCCAGGATTGGATCTGGAAGCAGTAGTTGGTGGGATGCTGGCTCAGGGTCTTTCGCTGTAAGTTCTACTTTATTTTGCTTCCTTTGGCAGGATCTCGTAGGGCTGTGGCTGGCAGTGGCTGTGGCCTGGACTTTTCTCTGACGGATCCAAGGTGACAATGCAGGGGCAGAGTGTGAGTCTTGGGATCTTGGGGGTGGGATTTGTGGGTGGATGTAGAGCCCCTTCAGGATGGTGCAGCACCTTCCTCTTGCTTTGATTCCCTTTGGAAATTCTTCGCACAGTGATTTCTGGGCCAGGCAGCAAGTAAAAGCTGCTGCTGGATCCAGGCTTTCGATTTCCTGAAAGGGATTCAAGAAAAGGCAGTACAAGATGTAACTGAGGGAACAGGTTGTTCTGTTTGTGATGGCTGCATGAGGGTTAGCCATGTATTTAGTCTGAGCCCTGTCTCTCATTTTCCTGTGTCTGTGTTTACTCTGACCCTTATAATGAAAAACAGACCTGAAAACAGGCTTCCCTGCACTTTTCTCCCACGATCACACCAGCTTCCTTCAGTGGGGAGGGTTTCCCTGTACCACAGTTTGGAGTGGTTTCAGGATGATATAGCCCTGTCCCTTCCCTCCCCCCGCCCCCAGGTATGGTCCTAGGGCTGAGAGGGGCCTGCAGGCAGAGGGTCCGCCTTTAAAATCCACAACTTCTGGGTGTGCCCAGTGATCTCAGGCTAGCTACTCCCTTTCCCTAAAGCTCAGTCTGCTCAGCCAAAAGAAAGCCACCATAATGAGGAATAAACAAGATGATGTGTATGAGGATGCCCCACACCTGATACAGTCAGGTTCCCCAGGTGGTTCAAGGAAAAGCTGGATCTACAGAGAGTCCAGCTGGTGTTTGGCTAGCTTTGGGTCACCTGCTAAGTAGTAATCATAAGAGGCAAGAAGAGAGGGTGCCCCAAGCAGATATGAACGGTGACTCTGTGGCTAAGCCCTCATGATATGGGAGCACCTGAGGGATTAAAAGAGGGCACAGAGGCTGGCTCCCTGAATTGAACCCCAGCTTCACCACTTTATGCTGTATGACCTGGACAAGTTACTTAACTTTTCTCAGCTTCCGTTTCACATCTGTAAAATATGCTGGAAAGAGTTGAGCCCAGGGCCTGGCCTGGCCTGGCTCAGTCGAGAAAGCTCCAGGCATTGCAGGGCTTGCACTGATTCCATTTGGGGGCCTCCTTAAGGAAAGAGATGCACAGTGGCAAATACAGTATTAGGTATGGGAGTGAATATTGAGACTATGAGAAGGGATATCACAACAAATGACAAAAGGGACAAATTCCCCAAGTATGACAAAAACCCAGAAAATAACACAATAATAAAATGCTGGAAAAATGAGACAAAGTTGATTCCTCCTTCTTGGCTGCTGGGTGCACCTGTCGTATTTTGGCTGCATACTCTCTACCTCTTATTGTTGTGGGGCAGGTCGCTCAGAAAACATATCAAGTCCCAGTTTTGTTCAAATTGAAGAGTCTTTATTTAGCCGGCCAGCCGGCGGCTGCTCCCCGCAGGACCCATAACTGTTTCTGCAAGGAACAGCCCCAAGCCTGAGAATTTTAGGATATTTAAAGGCAAAAACTACATCTGGGTTGATGTAGCTGCAAGCAAACAGGTACAGAAGCTGGATTGGGCAGTTAGTGAGACAATGCAATGGGTACACTGGTATTTCCCACAGGACTTTCCAGGTTGGCATAGCAGCAAGCAAGCAGAAGGGAAGGGGGTCAAAATGACCCTACTTCAGTACAAGTTAGAGAATGGTTACTGACGTCTAGACAATCTCTGACAATGTGCATTACCCAAGAAAAATGGAAACCAAAGAGAACAATTTTCATTGTATAAGAATTGCTGTTTTGTGTTGCCAAGTATGCTATGCCAAGTATGCTAGGTAACTATTAATGGGTACAGGGATGTGGCTTTCCCAAGGGAGAAGCATTTCTTAAATGATATGGAGTCTCAGGGTAAAATGGAGTCTGTTTGGTCATTGCCCATATAGCCTGGCCCATAATATTATCTTGATGCAGATTTCCTAGTGTCATTTTCAACAGAAGACTGAACACGAGATAAATCAATGTTGCCTCTAGTATAGCTCATCAGTGGTTATTTATTTTTTTCCATCACTGAGAGTTTAGAAGAGTTTCTTTCGGCTTCACGGTTTGTTATTGATGATGCTATATCTGTAAAGCTTTAGGTAGTTTCTCACTCAGGTGGCTCCAGCCAGGTCTCCAGAGAACTCAACCCTTTGATCCTCTCTGGGCAGCTGGACCTCCTGGATGGGGCAGGCATGCGGTGGCTGTGGGGCCAGGACCACAGCCACCCCTGAGCAGGGAAGGCAGCATGCATAGTGCAATTCCTGTCCTTGGGACCCAAGGGGAGGATCCTGGGTGCTCAAGCCTGGGCAGATTGTTCCTAGGACCCAGGTGGGTATACAAGCTGGGTCAGCCCTTCATCTCTGCGTACAGAGGCAGAGGCCACCAGAGCTAGGCAGTGATTCTTCCAGGCAGGGTCAGCACCCTCTGCCTCTAGGAAACATTTGGGACTTCCCTACCCCCACCCCAATAGAAATCAGGCCAGATCTTGCAAGGGGACCCATGCAGCGAGGGATCCCATGCCCAAGCTTCATCAGCTCCTGATTAGTCACTTCTGCAACCTGTACACATTGGTTGAGGAATCCTATTATTTGTTCACCGCATCAAGGAATTCACATGGGCACTGCAGCAAGATGTTCTTCATGTGGCCGAGTGACCTATTCTTTTGAAAAAATGAGGCTTCCTTTCCTGCAGCTAATTTCTTGTTGGGTCCTGAGTCAATCAGGAAAGCCCGTGAGGGAAGTCAAGGTCCAAAGACTTGTTTCATAGACAAGGAGACTGAGGCACTAGGCTAACCAGCGAGTCCCCTGTGAGAAGCAGCCCTAGCTTCCTCCCCAGCCCCAAATTAGTGCAAGTACCTGGCAAAGAGGAGGAGCCATGCAGCTGGCCAGGCTGCACCCTTCCCTGAGGGCCAGCAGAGCTGACTTTATCACAATACACAGTGGCTGCTGGTGCCCTCTGCTGCTCTGGAGGACCAAGGATGCTGTCCCAGGCAAACCCACAGCTCTGCGTGCAGGGCTCAAGTTTTTTCCCTTAAAAAGCATCATTATTGGGGACGGGGGGATAAGAGAGGACAATAGGGAGAGTGGTTGCAATCAGAATGTCTTATATGCACATATAAAATTGTCATAATGAAACCCATTATTTTGTACAATTAATATGCACTAATAATTATATATAATAATACAGAAGCACCATCATTATTATAGCTTCCTTTTGTGGAGAATTTTCTGACTGCTGGACATGATGTGCTTCATAGTCATGGTCTACTTCTGTCCTTTCCAGAACTCTCTCTGAGGAGGGTGTTTGCATCTGCATTTTGCATATTAGACAAAGGTTCAGAGAGTGAAAGTGGCTTGTTCAAAGATTCTGCTGATGTAGGTCTTAGACTTAGAGCTAACTTTTACCTAGAATGCTGGATCTAAACACCCTCATTTATAATGGATGGCATGGGGGACCAAAAAATGGAATCTCAGGCTGGGGCTGGGGCTGGAGCTCAGTGGAGAGCTTGCCTCGCATGTGCGATGCCAAGTTCTATCCCCAGCACCACCAAACAACAGCAACAAAACAAAAAGGAATGGACTCTTGTCCAGGGTCATCAACATCCAGGGACAACTTAACTGTTTCGTTTCCTTTGCTACACTTGTCACCACCTGACACTCTACCCTGTTGAGTCCCAGGAATGGAAGAAGCTCCATGGTGGTCTTTACTCACAGATCTCCAGGTCCAAGAACCACCTAGTGCACAGTAGCTCAGTTCCATGTCGGTTGTTGGATCCATGGGGCAGCAGGACTGAAACTCCTCGGGTTCTCCTTATTCATTTGTTCACAAGAACTCAGAATGTACCTATCAGGGGCCAAGGGCTGTGCCTGGGTCCATTCCAAAAGCCCCAAATGCTTGAAACACAAAGCAGTGGTAACCCCTCAGGGATGAGAGTGGTTCCAGGGCACAGTAGAGGGTCATGGGCAGAGAAGAGAACCTGGGCTGGTTGGGCTGCAGCAAAGTGAAGGTTTGGTTTCCTCTGCCACCATTTTCACCCTGTTGACTCCTATACTCAGAGATAATGGTGTTTTCAGACCTCTGAGTGCAGGACTATTTAGCTGAGAGTTTTCCCTGTCTACTGGGATTCTTCCAGAGAGGAAGTCTGTTTGGAAGGAATACTTGCACTTCACCCTGTCAGGGTGGACCTGTGAGGTTCTCTGAAGGAGTGTGTGCTGTTCTGAGTGAGACAGGAAGAAGGTGGGGAGGAGAGAGTTAATGTAGGGACCACATGGAAAGGTCTGTCTGACCCTTCAGGGAAATATCAGCAGAAAAGGAGGAGGGGAACACAGAGCAGGGGAGGTGGTAAAATGCTGGCTTTATAGTGAGACTCTGCCTTACAAAATGCCCCACATCTTTAGCTTGATCTGCACACGTTCTAGGATGTGAGCGGTTCTATTTGGAAGCCAAGTACAGGAACCGAGTTCTGGGTGGCTAAGTCCTGGGAGTGGTCTGAGAGCAGCCCCTGTGGGGCTACAGAATGGATTTAGAGGGAAACATGAGTGTTAAGTCAGAGTTCTGAGGTGGCAGGAGGTCCCACAGGTTGTGCACCCAGGGCTGGCTGAGTTCACCAGCAGCAGGCTCAGAGGATGTCAGAGCTCCACTCTCCCACTTAAAACAGGGTATTGGTACTGGGCAGCTCTTAATTCTGAGGACTGCCCTTCACAAGAATTTAGAAACAAATTGATGTTTTTTTTTTTTTTTCCCCCATTAGGTGACAGTCCACCATCAGGCTTCAGAATTACACAGTTTTATCGCTTCTCGGCCTTTTGGCTAAGATCAAGTGCAGAATTACACAGTTTTGAAAATTCTGACAGACAAACATATAGAAGAAGGACTTTTTGACCGTACTGGCTGTCCAATGCCTTGTTTTGTTCACAGAGAAAAAAATGTTTAAAAAGTCATATTGGCTGCCCTGCCAACCCTTCTTTTCCTGGAGACTTGGGTTCCCGATTTCAGGAAGCATGTCGATACCCATTTCTAGTGTTTTGCTACAGGATACAAAATTGGCTCATTCAGACAGCTTTCAATTATAAGTCTTGTACCAGAATAAAGGTTGGCCTTAGCAAAAGTGTAAGTAGATTTGAGCCATCTATGTGGGCCAGAAAGAAATGGGTTGCCTCTGATGTTTATTCCTGAAATGAAAACAGGTATCAACACCTGCACATTTGGGGCCGGGATTAGGGAGTGTGCCTGAGTTGGGTTCTGACATGAGCATCAATGTTCTGCACCAGGAGAGTTTTCGGGTGGCTTTGTTTAATGCTCTTTCCAGTCGGGAGACAATTTGCATTTGATCCTCAGCAGGTGGGGTTGGTAAAGCTGGCCACTCAGCCAGGGGCACTCTTGCCTCTCAGCACGCCTGCAGTCTTGTAGCAGAGCCTGGGGCTTGATCAGGGAAAAAGTTAGTCTCACTTCCGAATGGCTTTTAATCAGGCTGAGACTCAGAACAGATGGGTAAGCTTTTCCAGTCTCTTATTTGCATTTATTTGAACTTCATTGTATAGTATGCTCTTATTCCGGAACACTCGCTCCTTTTCCTTCAAATACACTTTGAGCACTTGTTAATACCAGGCATTGTGCTGCTGTCTCACTTAATCCTCCCAACAGCCTGTTTTATGAGCACCAGTATAAGAACTAGCTTTTTTTTTTTTTTTTAAGCATTTATCCTATGCCAAGGCACAGTGCTGAGCATTTTATAGGCATTATCTGTCGTGATAATCACTATTGTATCCCCATTTTAAAGACAAGGAATCAATTTAATGTGGTCCAGTAGAGATCCACAATCCCTTATCAGAAACCCTGGGGTAGACATGTTGGAATTCAGAAGTCTTTGGATGTGAGTTATAAATTGTCTATTATGTAGCATCTCTGGTACAGCAACACCGCATAATACATCAACAGTTATGCATACAAATGTTTAAACAGTTTCATTCAGTGGGATAAAGATTGTAAATGTCCTCATATTGATTGGCGCCTTAATACCAATTAGATTATAAAAAGGTATTTGCTTTTCAGAGTGGTTGGTAGTTGTGGATGAAGGCCTGAGGAGATATACAGTTACTTGTGTCAAAGTTGAGATTCAAATCCCCATGTACTTCCTCAGATGGAGATCTAAGGGCTCCCAAATCCAGGACTCTTTCAGCACTCGATGCTAGTACTATTGAGGCCGACTTAGGTTAGGAGGGGGCTGCATTCCGTGAGGCCTGCTGCAGTTTTGACCTTGCTGTGGGCTGTGAGCTGTCTGTGCCAGCTTGCATTTTACCTGGAGGAAAGAAGCCCCAGGCTGAGGTTTACATGTGACCCAGCAGACTCATCTTTTCAGGGTGTCAGGGTGCCACCCATCTCAGTGGTACTGAAAGCTGGAAGTTGTGTCATGGCACTGAATTTAGCCTTGGCTTTTCTCTTTCCAACATAGCTCTTTGTTTAAGCGAAGTAGAATAATGTAGTTGAAAGCCCCGTTCCTCCCTTTTCAAAGTGGATTTGATGATAAAAGTGATGTGAGAGAGACCTGAGAGAAAGATGAGGTGATGAAATTTAAGAACTCTCTTAGAAAAGAATTGGAAAATAACCTGGAAATTGGAAAATAACCGCAAAGGGGCCAATCTCAGTGCAAATCTCATTTCATTCACTCACTGATCACTTATTGAGGTCCTCCTGATCTAGGTGGCACTGTGGGAATCCAGGATCCGACCAGGTTCTTGCCCTCCAGAAGCTCCCAGACTGACAGCCACAGACAGGAGACAGAGCCATATAAGGATGCAGCCGTGTGTGCCTCTTCTATACAGCACAGCGGAGTGACCAGGCAGCCAGGGAGAAAAGGGGCTGGGCTAGGAGTCAGGGTGGGAGTAAGAGTGGCTTCACAGAGCTATGATACTTGGTGCATTGGCTGGCCATTGTCTCCCCTTAGCCTCCAGATGGCTACACTCCTGATTTCCCTCTGACCCCCTGGGCCTTTCCTTCGCATTTCCTCCCTCAATTGTTGGCATTGTCAGTCTCCAGGCCTGGGCCACCTTCTCTCCTGCTTCTCTCTTTACCCTCCTTCCCTAGGTTACCTCATTCATTTCCTTAACATCACACACCTTCCACACCTGAGTACCTCCTCCCCTGGCACATCAGCCCACAGGTCAGCTGAACTCCCAACTTAAATATACCCACTTGCACTTGTTGAAATTAACACATTCAAGTGGAAACTCGGGACTCTTATCCCCCAAACCAGTTCCTTCCCTGACCTGCCCTACAGCTTTAGGAAATGTTGCAATTGTCCACCCAGCTGCTCAAGCAGAATCCTTCTCTCCCCTCCCTCAGCCCTGATACCCAAATTACCAGCCAATTCCTGCCAGCTCTTTCTCCAAAGTATGCTTAAATTGATATATAAGAACATAAAAATTGTGCATATTAATTGGTTACCATGTAATGTACTAAGATATGTATACATTGCATAATGTTAAACATTGGGGTAAATATATCTCCTCAAATGTTTACTTTTTTAATGGTGAAACTTTCAAAGTCCTTCTAGTTTCTTGAAATATACAGTATCTCATTGTTATCTGTAGTCACAATTGCACACCTGAGCTGCTGCTTTTTTTTCTTCTTCTAGTACTGGGGATTAAATCCAGGGACTTTACCACTGAGCCACATCCCCAACCCTTTTTAAATTTTTTTTTTAAATTTTGAGACAGAGTCTTACCACATTGCTTAGGGCCTCACTAAGTAGCTGACCTCAGACTTGCCATCCTCCTGCCTCAGTCTACAGAGTTGCTGGACTGCACCTGGCTTCACCAGAGCTTCTTGCTCCTCTCTGACTATAACTTAGTACCCACTGACCAGCCTCTCCTCAGCCCCTCCCCCACTTTCCCAGGCTCTGATAACCACCATTCTATAGTCAATTACAATGATTAGATTCACTTACAATGTTTTCAGATTCTACATGAATGAGATCCTGTCGGGCACGTCTTTCTGTGCCTGGCTCCAAAGTACATTGTGGTTGAATCTCCCTCTGCCCATTTCTCTGCCTCCTTTTTAGCCCAGGGCATCATTCTATGTTCTTTTACTCCATTGTCAGGTATGTACCCCAAAGGAGACAGAGAACAGGCTCAGGAAAAAGCAAAATGTGCTATACTCATAGGACCTAGGCAAGGAGACATGGCACACCATGCATGGACACCAGGGTGGGCAGGAGTCAGGAACAAGGGAAAACAAGAGGCCAGAGCCCTTATTGGGGTTTCTGTGGAAAGGCAGTGGAGGGCAGGGGGAACAGCTCAGGACTGGTTAGTCGCAATAACTTTGGCAGGCTCTAAGTTATGGGGGGGGGGGTCTCTAATAGTCTGGTCCTTGGCCCCGGGATGATGAAGGCCTATTCATATTGCTACCTGGCATTGCTCTAGATTGGCTAGTGTGTGTGTGTGTTAGTCAGTTTTTTATTGCTGTGACCAAAAATACCCCACAAGAACAACTTAGAGGAAGAAAGATTTATTTTGGCTCACAGTTTCAGAGGACTAAGTCTATGGTCAGCTGGCTCCAAGACAGAAACTTCATGGTAAAAGGGTGTGGCAGAGGAAATAGGCTCAGCTCATGGCAGCTGGAAAACAGAGAGAGAGAGAGAGAGAGAGAGAGAGAGAGAGAGAGAGAGCGCTCTCAAGAGAGGCTAGAGGCCTCCAGTGACCAGCTTCCTTCAAATAGGTCCCAACTCCCAGTGGTCCATGCAGCTATCAATGGATCATTAATCCACAGATGAGGTCAGAGCCTCATGACCCAATCATTGCCTGAAGGCCCCACCTCTGCACCTTGCTGCATTGGGGACCATGAGTTTCTGGGGACATTCCAGACCCGAACCATAACCATCTGTATATCCAAGGCATGTTCCCTCCTGGCTAAGCCCTTATTCTCCCTAAGAACTGGAGAGCTCTGGGAAGGGTAGTCTGTCCCTACCCAGAAAAAATTTTAAAGATGTCTAAATGTAAATACATCCACCCCTCTCTTTGGCCATTAGACGAATCTGTGCCTCTTCAACTATACTCTATTCCCCTGACATCCATCCTCCACAGCCCAGCAGGCAGAAACGTCCCCCTGAGTGACTCTGGATCTTGTCATTCTCCGCCTTCAAAAGCTCTGGTGGCTCCCTGTCCTCCGCCCCACCTACACCTTCTAAGGTTCGGTCTGCCCCTGCTCACCATCTTCTTGCCCACCACCATCCCTCCTGTTCCAACCAATCTGAGATCAGTATATTTCTCTTGTTCAGCTTTTGTTGGTTGTTTTGTTTTCATTCCTTAACCATAGAAGCTGTTTCTCTTCTCCACTGTTATTAGATTCTCTTCCTTCTCATGGCACACGTCATGTTTTTTTCATCTTGTCTTTATCTCTTGAGATTCAGTTTCCATGTCCCTTTAGCAGCGAGCCATCCCTGACCACCTGATCATTCAGGTGGTATTTCCCAATCCATTATTCTCCACACAGCACCCCTTTCCTTTTGATCACAAGTTCACGCAGTAATCCAAAAAAATCCATGAACCTGCTGTGTGCCAACTGCTTGCCTATGAGTGTGGTCAGGCGAAATGTCTGGGGCTGGGAGGTGGGGGAGGCTTAGATTGTAAAGGACTGTGCAGGGGACATGTAGTCAGTACACCTCCCTGCAGTCACATGTCAAGGTCAAGCTGATTTGGGAGGTAATCGGAATTCCTGGGAACCATTTTCCTCCACTCCACTCTCCTACATCAATGGTGGATCAGGATACTTTCCCCCTAAGCTCCAATGTGGTCCCATGTGGCCTTGGCATCCCTCCCACACAGGCAGCCTCCTTGTTAACTGAGTTGGCCTAATTTGCCATTGCAGGCTCATGTAATTTAAGGTAGAACACTCTCCTCAGCCCTAGTTAATTAATTCATGAATTTATCCTCTTAGGATATGGATAGAAGCATTTCTTCAAAACCATGTATCACTCTGGATTTCATTATATTTAATCTATTTTTCTTCTCTTCTTCCCTCTCCACAGGAGAAAATAATGAATGACAAAGGAAAATTAATGTTGTCAATGCTGATTGTCTCAACTGTGATTGTTGTGTTTTGGGAATATATCAACAGGTAATTATGAAACATGATGAAATATTGCTTTGATTCTGTTTTACTAGTTACAGCCAAGTTATCAAGTAAAGTTAAGATTGAGATTAACTGAAACCATAAATAATGGGGCCCACCCTTCTTATCTTCCTGGATCATTGTTAAAAATCACCAGGCCCTCAAGTAACTTCTGGCTAATTAATCATCTTCTTCCTGCTGTGTTCCCATTATTTTGACATTTATACTGGTAGGCTTGATCTAGAAAGAGGAAAATCAATTAAGCTCCAAATGTGATCTGAAATGGTTTATATGATTAGATAAAGAAATTATCTTAAGAAATTTCAGACAGGAATTCCATGAGAAATCCACCCTGAATTTTGCAATCCTAAGATATATGCAGAGTTTAACAGAGCAATTTGAGTTATTGACTTTTGCTGCAAAAATACACACTGAGTTTATTCACCAGTTATTGAGCTGGTGATTCATTTGTGCCTGGCTGAAACTTCTGGGTCTCTCCCTCTCTCTATCTTTAACTCTGGAGAGCAGAATGAATAGAATGTTTTTGAGTTTTCAAATTCATCTGCGGACTACTCAAATATAAGAACTACCTCTGTGCTTTTGAAACCACCTTGTCTTGGAGATTCTAGCTAGAGAGGCTTCTGACCAAAAGTCTCCACATAAATACAGAAATGTGTGATGCTTTTGACTTGAGATATAATGATAAAGCTCAGCCTTCAGTTTCTAGTAAGTCCACTGTGCTGAGTTGTCTCGGCACCATTATTATTTTCAGGGTGAAATGTTTCAGTGGCCCTCAAGTTCAAGATGGCAGCCTGGTGTAACATTTGAATATTATTTTTAGACATCAAATTATAAGATTAAATGAGCCAGCAGGACTGTCTTTGCTACTAAAAAAAGAACTGCAACTTTGGGTGCATCAATAGCAGGAGGAATCTCCAAAATGCAGAAACAAAATCTTCAGATGTGGACAGATCTAGCCACTTCTAGAATGTTCTTTTGTTTCATTCTGAATCACTAATTTTAAGGAAAATAGGACAAGCTCAAGTGTGGTCAAGTTAAAAGCATCTGGAAACTAGGTCTTTTGAATTGAGGAAATGAGTTCAAAGAAGAGATGACTCAAAGTTAGGTGTGGGGACCTCCTCGGTGGCCTTGGGAAAGTTACTCAACTACTCTGTTCTCTGGTTTCTCTACCCTTAAAGGTAGGGAATATAATAGTGCCTGCTTCATTGTGATTAAATATTATTGTGTACAGAGCACCAGGGCCAGTGGCTGGACTTCATAATGCCAAATGCCATCACCAGCATCTTCCTCTTCAGCTCAGGCCATTATAACAAGGTGCTATAAATTGGGGGCCTTAACAACAGGAACTTACTTCTCCAAGTTCTACAGCTGGGGAGTCCAAGGTCAAGGCACTAGCTGATTTAGTTCTCATATAAGGGCTTTCTTCCTGGCTTGCAGATAGTCACCTTTTCCCAAAACATCCACAATGATGGACAGCAAGCAAGTTATAGTATCTCCCTCTTCTTATAAGGACACTAATTTCATCATGGGGCCCCCATCCTTATTTAATGTAATTATCTCCCAAAGGCCCCACCTCCAAATGCCATCATACTGGGGACAGGGCTTCAACACATAAATTTTGGGGGACATGAACATTCACTTCATAACAGTCACAACCATCATCATTTGCTGCTGAGGGCAAAACATGACAGGGGATTTTGACCGAGAGAGACGACTCCAGCAGTCACAAGCAAGAGAACATGAGCCCTTTGGGGTGCTTGCCGGAATACTTGCTTGGCTGACAGTTTGTCTCTGAATCTGAATACTTGATTGGATAATTTTGCTGGATGTTCTGAATTGTAGCCAGATTTGTACTTCCATATTTGGGAACCAAAGTCTTAAATGTGTATATTGGCCTTGGCCTCTCAGAAAGGGGGTTATTTTTCAGTGCTGGGCATGTTCTTTCAGCACAGTGGTTATAGCAGGTTCTGACTGTTCCTTGGGGCCATCTTCAGGCACCTGGACCTTGGCTGCATCTTTCTTTGATGTGCAGAATCCACTTTTCTCAAGAGGCTTCAAGGGAGCAGATGGTTGCCATTTAAGAACTGGTCATGAGATAGTCTAAGGTGACCTGAGGACATTACCCTGAGAAGGATGGGTGGCACTGAGTTTGGAACAATCTTAAAAACAAATAAATTGAACACATCTACCAAGTAGTTAATCGAAGCACTGTTGTCAACAAAGCACTCTGAGAGAATATCACCCAGGATAGCATTTGATTTGAGGCCGGATGGAAAAAAAAAAATCTTAGACTTAAAAGTTACAATAATAGTGATGCTGATGGCATCACTGCTGGCTCATTAAATCTTTTGACAGCAGGTACTAGTTTCTAGTGTGTGTGTGTGGCATCATCTCCAGTTCTTATACTAGTCCTGCACAGTTGGTACTTTTCCAAGTTTCCATATAAGGACATGAAGTTCCCAAATGGTAAAAGTTAAGGTTCAAGATCACATTTTAGGAAGAGCTAGGTCTCAGGCTGTCTGCAGCTCATTCACTTACCCACTATAGAGCCTTCATTTAGTTGAGTCTCCATTTTTCAAGTGACAGAATGGAGACCAAATAGGTGAAGTGTCTTTTTAGTGAACTTATGTCCCTGTTGTAACTAGAATTCAGATCTCCTTATCCTTTATCCCCAATTCCTTCCGGAGCTTCTCATCTGTGCCGATATGAGGGATGGCACATGGGCCATTAGAACTCCTGCCCTCCAGGTGTGATCTGAATGGGGCAACAGGATGTGTGGATAAATAACCAATGCTACTAAGTAGAAGAAGAATGACAGAAGTAGAGAGTACTTGTGATTGCTTATGCTTTTCTTCATGGTGCTTCTTGGAGTATGAGGTTGTGTAGCCGTGTGACTATGTGACCAAGGTCTGCCTTCCCTCCTACATTATATGTTCCACAAGGTTGAGGACTGTACTGGTCTTGGCCAATGACCTATCCCAGCCTCCCTGCTTTCATGAGTTGAAGAAATGCCTTTGGGGACTGCGCTGAGGAAGGCTATGCACTGGGGGTGGTAGTAGGCCTTGCAACTGATGCTCTGTTTTCTGGGTAAAGATAAATCCTCAGTGAGGAGTGGCTGGGCCAGGGTGCTTCCACCTTCCAGGCCTTCTTCATTGCCAGACAGCTGAGTAGGCTGCAGGAGGGGACCTTCTGTGGAGCTTCTGCCCCTCAGTGAAGCCACCCCTGAGCAATGGAGAACTGATTGTTAAAAAAAAAACAACAAAAACAAACACAACTTGAGATTCTCCAGATGCCCTCTTCCCCTGGAAATCTGGAAGCAACTGCAAGTGGAAATTCCTATTTCCACTGGGTATATCTCAGAGGAAGGTGGAAACTGGGAGAAGCTAGAACCCGGCTCTCTGCTCAGCCCAGGGCTCAGTGATAATGGTTACAAAATAGCCTTTCTTGGAACTAAAAGTAACATGATGTTTTTATTTCTCCTTTGCTTTTAGCCCAGAAGGCTCTTTCTTGTGGATTTATCACTCAAAGTAAGTGCTTTGAATTCTAGGTGTCCATTGGCTGACTCCCATATGTGCTCTCTCACCGTCCGCAGTCTCTTTGCACCAGCAGTGATGCGCTCAGGCCAAAAAGGGGAAAGGGTCCTGGGAATCTGGGGCTCTGGATTGTATTCCTCCAGCCCCCAGACTTGTCTTTATAGAAGCACAACTTGTGTTTTGCCTTGAGTTCTTATCAAGGGCCTCTTTAAGTGGTGTTATTTGGGGGAGTATTCCTGTTTCACTGAAAAAAAGAATCTGGGAGATAATCTCCATCGTTCTTCTCTATATACGTTGTCTGAAGAACTGTGTAAGAGCAAGAAAAAAAGTTTGGGTTTTTTTATTTTTTGTTGTTTTAGATATATATGACAGTAGGGTATATTTTGACATATGATCCATACCTGGAAGTCTGGGTTTCTTGATGAATTAGTGTGTATCCTTTTTAGAAATTTTTTTCACTTTTTTAAAATACATTTATTTGTTTATTTTTATGTGGTGCTGAGGATCGAACCCAGTGCCTCACACATGCTAGGCAAGCGCTCTACCACTGAGCCATAACCTGGCCCCCCTTTTTTTTTCCTTTTTTAAAAAGAAAATGAGAGCTGTGTGTGCAAATTTTTTAAAATTAATTAATTAATTATTTTTTGGTACTGGAGATTAAACTCAGAGACATTCACTGAGCCACATCCTCCAGAGCTTTTTATTTATTTATTTAAAATTTGAGACAGGGTCTCACTAAGTTGCTTAGGGCCTCACTAAGTTGCTGAGGCTGGCCTCTAACTTGGGATCCTCCTGCCTCAGCCTCTCGAATCACTGGGATCACAGCATGAACTACTACAACCAACTAAATCTTTACTTTCCTGTCTTTGGCTTGGTTGCCAGGAAGCTCTGAGTGCATGTTCTCAGCAGTTTGCACCTGGTATTACTTCTGGTTTTTATCCTTACATTCCACAAGACCTTGGTGAATTGCTCAAATCCACTCAGCCAATATCTCAGCTGTAAATTGAAAATAAAGGGAAAACTTTTATTGGGGATGACCAAGGTCAAGTGCAATTACATACCTGGGTGACTAAGTCAAGGTATCAGAGGATTCTTGAAAATATGCTTGGTTTTTTATTCACACTACAACTCATGACAGTCACTCTCAGCTAATCAAGCTCTTATCCATATGGTATTTCATTCAGTCTTCAAAATTATCTTCATGGCAGGTTTATTATTGTTATTAAAAACACTTTTCAGAATAGAAAGTAAAAATTCAGAGAGGGAAAATGTCCTACCACAGTCGTACAGCTGGTGAGTGGCAGATCCGGAACTCAGGCTTGTGCGTTTACAGTGGCCCCCCCTTGCCCTCTTTCTCCCCGGTCCTGCTAGGGCTCACTGGTTGAGTGGAGTGCCAGGCTGCCCTGGGGACAGCAGGTCGAGGGGTCTTCAGCTCTCTTTCCCCCATTCAGCTAAAGGATTTCACTTTTGTTTTCCTTTTCTGAATTAGCAGCTTAAAATTAATTTTTTAAATAATGATCTCTGCTATTAAAAAAAAAAAAGTAGTTTGGGATCCTTCCAGTTTGGAGACTGATCATTTCTAAAAATGTTTACATTCTTTTTCACTTCTTAGGGACCCAATTGGTGACGGCAGCACTCAGAAGGGCTGGTGGTTTCCAAGCTGGTTTAAAAATAGGTAAGGAGGGGCTGGGGATGTGGCTCAAGCCGTAACGTGCTCGCCTGGCATGCGCGGGGCGCTGGGTTCGATCCTCAGCACCACATTAAATAAAATAAAGATGTTGTGTCTGCCGAAAACTGAAAAATAAATGTTAAAAAATCCTCTCTCTCTCTTTCTCAAAAAAAAAAAAAAAAAAATAGGTAAGGAGATCAGACTATGGATATGTTTGTCCATCCAACCAACTTTTGTGGAGAATTTGGTTGAAATGGCTCCATGTTCATGACTTTCCCAGTCACTTATATTTCTTGCTTATCAAAATTATACAAGGAATCCATTTTGTGGGTGGGCTAGGACATTTAATTTCCAGCTAACTTAAGAATGAGGCGTGAGTGGAAGTTTAAATGGAAGGAAAGAAAATCATAAACCGAAATGTTCTTAGGAGGGCTATTTTAACAAGTCTCCCCTGCCCCCTAAAATAACCCAAGGGTTATTGGGTCATTAAACTGCTAACTGCTAACTTGCAAGGCTAATAAGAAAGACGAATACTGCGTGTTTTCATCTCAAGTATGTTCTTGTGAATAAATGCCTAGCATCATGAGCCTATCTCCAACCAGTGCACTTGGTACATGCACCCTCTGCCTCGGGACATGTTTCATGAGATTGTCCCCCACTGCCCTGCCACCACACACCACCCTCCTTGCCTTACCTGTCTTTCTTCCCCTTTGTACTCAGGACCCACAATTACCAGGGAAATGAAGAGGAAGATATAGAAAAAGGAAAAGCGAAGGAACAAAGAAAGGAAGATGAAGAGCTTCAACTGTGGGACTGGTTTAATCCGAAGTAAGAAGTGTGGCTCCTCATGCAGTGGTTCCAGGGCTCACCAGGAGTGGAGCAGGCCGTGCAGGCAGCACTGAGAACATCCCTGACTTGGGAGAAACGGTCTTAGCATTTAGCATTAGACTTTAGATAAGACTTTGGATAAGAAACAGGGACCTAACTACTTTGAATCTACTGTACTGAGCAGCACAGTAATTCTGACGGTAAATGGCCAATGGCAGCCAACCAGTCACAGAATATTAGTGCTAGAATGGGTCTTTCTTATAGGCCAAAGATATTGTGGAAAGCCACAGGATTGGGAATTAGGGGGAAATTCTGAGATTAAGTTAACTCATTTTTTAAAAATGTCATGGAAGGGCTGCTGTTTTGGCTCAGTGGTAGAGCGCTCACCTAGCACTTGTGAGGCACTGGGTTCCATCCTCAGCACCACATAAAAATAGATAAATAAAACAAAAGTATTGTGTCCAAAAGTATTTTAGTCCCTACAACTAAAAAAAATTGTTTTTAAAAAGTGTCATGGAAGGGCTGGGGTTGTGGCTTAGGGGTAGAGTGCTTGCCTAGCATGCCCGAGGCCCTGGGTTCGATCCTCAGCACCACATAAAAATAAATAAAGATGTGTCCATCTGAAACTTAAAAAGAAAAAAAAAAACATAAGTGTCATAGAACCATAAATTCATTCATTAAGCAACCATACAAAAAATGTTTATCAAAACTTACAATGTGCTGGGTGCAGTAGTGCACACCTGTAGTTGGGCTCAGGAGGCTGAGGCAGGAGGATCACACGTTCAAAGACAACCTTAGCTACTTAGCAAGACCCCAAGCAACTTAGCAAGACCGTATCTCAAAATAAAAAATAAAAAGGGCTGGGGATGTGGCTCAGGGGTTAAGTGGTTTGGTACTTGGGTATAATCCCTGGTACCAAAAAAAAAAAAAAGAAAAATTTATGATGCTGCTGAGCATGGTAGCATCATTGCTACCATGTAGTAGCCGAAATCCCAGCAACTACAGAGGCTGAGGCAGGAGGATTGAAAATTTGAGACCAACCTCAGGAACTTAGACACTAAGCAACTTCATGAGATGCTTTCTCAAAATGAAAAATAAAAAGGACTAAGATGTAGCTCAGTGGTAAAGTGGCCTAGATTCAATCCCTAGTACCCATCCCACCAATCAAAACAAAACAAACTAAATCTTATGATGTGCTTATTGGTACTTCTCAAATGGTCAGTAACTACTCATTTGTGTATTCAGAAACTAGCTTATTAGATCAAAACTAGCTTTTTAAAAAATTAAAATAGAAGACCAAAGGGTAAGTATTATTTAGTGGAATTTTTGATTCTGTATATAAGAGTGCATTTGGTTGTGATATGAAATGTATTTTATGAGTTATGGTAAAAAAAATATACTGTGGCAGACATTGTGTTAGGCACAGAAGACAGGTGAAATCTCCCAATATGGTTGTATTCAAGAAGATCATGGTCTTGGGTTCGAGTCTCAGCACACACACACATAAAAAAAAAAAGAAGAAAAAGAAGTTGTTATTCTTCACTTGGGTCTTGTATGTGGGATAGATATGAAACTAATATTTGCCAAGATTGGTAAGGAGATGTGATCAGTAAATGGCAGGATGTGGTTTGGGGGCTGAGGAGACGGAAGTTTTTCAATGTGACTATGAGACCTGAGAGATTGGTGGGTGATGATGTCATTGACCAGGAAAGGGAATTGAAGAAGGAATGCCTGAAAGTTCAGAGAGGTGACGAGCTCCATGAAGGCTGTGCGTGGATCCATGTGCTTATGGGGCATCTAGACAGAAAGTCTCAGGGTTTCCAGGAGCCAGTGGAGGGTGTGGATTGGAGGCATCATCAGGCTACCTGCCAGAGGGATCTGTGGGCTTGGATGAGGCCACCCAGGGAAAGGCCATCTGACATTGGCATCCAAGTAGCTGCAGGAGGAAGAGGTGTTCAAATGGAGGAGCAGGGAGACCAGTAGGAGCAGGAGGAGGTCAGGAGGGACCAGTATCCATTCCTGTGTGAAGGATTGTGGGTTCCGGGAACTGAATATGTTGTTGCAAGTCTGTGTATTGTTTTGGAGTAGAAGATTCATGCCAGTTTGGAAAAGATGAGAATTTTGACTTCTCATCTGTCTTTTGGTGAGTTGGACAACAGGGTAACCACCTATGAGATGCTGAACCACTACTAGAAATGTGAGAAGATGGAAGCATTCTATTTTGATAAGCCCTTTAGATCAGAAAACTGAGGCCCCAAAGGGGCAGGCAGACTGGATGAGTCAGAAATGGTGACCAAGCACCTTCTAAGGAGGATTGGATAGTTCTACTATGGCCTCCTGCTCTGCTGAATGGGACTTGGAAGGTGGGGGCCAACGCTGAATTGCTAGGGGAAGAAAGGAGAGAGACCACGGCTGCCAGCTGTTACTGTGTCCACACTCTGCCATGCATGGCTAGACCTCACCTCCAAATGAATGTCAAACAAATATTTAAACAATATCAGTCTGAATCAGCACCAAATTAAAGCCTTCTTGGGCCACCAGTCTATTTCTAGCATAATTGTATGACTGGATGAAATAATTAGCAAATTTCATATTAGTGCATCCTTTTCAGTGAAACATCTCAGACATATCACAGTGTATTGTGCAACCTATTTTCACGGCATAATCTCCTACCTTGCCTCCTCATTTTCTTCCTCTCCATTCTCCTTTCTCAGCCTCCTTGCTAGGGCCATCTCCTTCTTCTCAGCTATCAGGTATTAGTCATGGGGCTAAGTGTACCTTCTTCTCTTTTCTTTGTGCACCATGTTCCAATATATTCCCTTCCGTTTCCCTGGCATCATACTCCACCTATGAGAGAATGACTCTCACGTTTGTATCTTTAGTGCAGATATTTCCTCTAAGCCCTGACTTGTGTCTACCTGCCCACCTGGCATCTCTGCATGTCTCACATGACCCAAATATATTTCTCAATTCCACCCCACCCTTGTTCTTCTCCTCATTTCCCATAGCAGTAAATAGCTCAAGTCAGAGGCCAGGAGATGTTTTCCTTTGTCCACCCCATAGTCTAACTCATTAGCATGTTCTGTTGATCATTGCTCCCAAATCCCTCCCACATCATTCCCTTCTCTGCACGCCATAGCTGCTATCTCTGTTCACATTGCCATCAGCTCTTTTGTTGTCTTGCTGTTTACCATACTGCTGCTTAATAGGTGGTGTGTGTTCCACATCCTTTTATACCTACTTCATGTTTCATTGAATTTTAATATTTTCTCTAACCAACCCTTGGGTACCACATACATGGATCCATAAATAAAGACAATTAATAAGCTGCCAATAACCTAGGAACATGTGTGTTTTGGTTGCAGAAACCCTATTATATTTCAGGAAGCTTTTGGCCTAAAATGATGGAATTGCACACGCAGAGGTCACACAGTTGTTTGGAAGGAAGACCTTTGGGCAGCTCTTTGCTGGCATTTCCCCCTCCTTTTAGAGCCTCATTCATCCTCATTATCTTGGATGTTTCTGGCAATTGACATTGTCAAAGACAAGCTTTTGCACATGTGTGGGTTTTCCTAAGTCGCCTCTTTTGCGAGGCAGGTGGGGGGAGTGAGTTTTCATGATTGAGACTCCTTAATGCAGAGCTTCGCCCAGGAAACTGATCCCAACCTCATCCTCCCTCTCTCCCTGCACCTCCTCTTCTCCACTGCCTTCCTTACCAGGCTGTCATCTGGCTGTTAGTCAAGGTCACCGGTATATGGGAATTGTCAGTGGATTTGAGTAATTAACAGCTGGGAAATAGCACACCTTAATTCTAAATTAAACATTAATTTTTTAATATTGCTACTTTTTGTTCCTGCCTGAAGGTATCCTTCCCATCCAAGTAATCAAACTGGATACTGGGTTTCTGACTTCTTTTTAGAAGATGTGGTCAAAGTGATCCTGCAGTTGAGGAGCATGCACTTGACTACCCATTGGGACTGTCAAGATTCTCAAGAGGCAGGACTGTTCTCATTTCCCTCATCCCAGTACTTAGTCCCAGTTTGGCCCTTTATATAAATTAAATGACCAAAAGCTTAGTCCCCTTCTCCTTCTCCTAGCCTTACTCCCTTTATTTGTAAAATGGCTGATGACAGCACCCACTTCATAGGGTGGTCATGGAGATTAAATGAGAGAGCACGAGCCAAGTACTTGGCCCCCAGGGGCACAGAAAGTATTAAATAAGTGTGCCTGCTCCTCTTTTTCTTCTGTTTTTGCTAGTTGTATTACCCGATTACCAAATGTCTGGTTCACATACAACAAGCCTTAGCAAGAAGGCTGGGCTAGAATTACTGAAAGATCTTCCACAGGCTAAAACGAACACTGCAGTAAATGAGGTGGATGCCTGACAGAACAAGGAAGCTCAGGTTCAAAAGCACAGGCAGGAGAATAATGAGCCCTATGTGCATGCTTACATTGTCTTTTTCTATCTGGGGGCAGGTTGAAATTTGTCATTTGACAAAGCTTAGGGTTTTACAGGACTAAAAGCACCACTGGAGCAAAGTTTTGAGGGTCTTGTGTGGCTGGTCTCATGTGACCCTGCTGAGGCTGTTGGGAGAGGCCAACAAATAGCCTGCGGAGGGCCAGGTCTTCACACAATTGCTCTGCCCTTCAGCAAAGCAGAGTTTTCCACGCTGAGCCTGATGAGCAAGGCTAGGTCATGTTAAGTTTCTAAAATCAACAACACAAGAGCTCATCGTTTCCTAGTCTTTGTTGTTGTTGTTGTTGTTGATACTCCCCAAGTGAACCAGAAGCAAATGCCGAGTCTCACCCATGACAGCAGAATGCATTTCAACTCATTGTATACAAATGGGGCATTTCCCAGTTTTCACTGGTGAAAATACCAAAGCTGCTGAGTGGACGTAGTGTTACCTTCAGACCAGGACAAAACTGGGTTTAAACCCTAATTTCTTTAGCACAGCAATTAAATGTTTAGGTAAGAAACAATATAGGGTGGTGGCTCAGAGTACCCAACTCTAAGATTTACCCCTTTATAGCTGTGAAAGTACTTAACCTTTCTGTGCTATAGATGCTTCATTGGTAAGATGGAAATCAAAGTCACTCTGTCTCAGAAGGATGAACCCTTTGCACAGTGCCTGGTCACACAGGAAGTGCTCAATGTATGCTAGTTGCTGTCATCAGTGACTAGTTATGTGGCCTTGCTCAGCTTCTCTGAGCCTTGGTTTTCTTATCTGAATGTCACACAATACATCACAGGACTGTTGCAAGGACTAAAGGAAAACAGGTTGGTGCAGAGTCTGTACTTGCGCCTTTCACCGAGAGTAACTGTGTTCTCTGTGTAGCAGGAACACCTGGAGTGCTATGGACTGAGCCGAGTCTCAGGCTCCAGACAAGCTGAGCAGCCAAGAGAACAGGCTAAAAGTCCCCCCACTCTGTCATATCTGCCACACTGCACCATGCTGGAGGTGGCCCAGTTATGTCGGCCCAGAGGCAGACATAGGTTGGGTGGGAGGGCAGAGTCAGCAGAAGAGTTAGAGAGTGCAGAGCTTGTAACAGGGACAGGAGGCACGGGGGAGAATCTTCGGAGGCTCTTCTGCCCCTCTGAGACTTGGGTGAGGCAGGGGTAACCTAGCCTTGTCCATCAGGCTGGCTGTAGGTAGGTACAGTTGAGTGAACGCCCTACCTAACGCTGCAAGGAGCAGGGGATGTTCCTGTCAGTCTCTCCCAACAGCCTCAGCAGCGCAGCAGGCTAGGACTAGCAGGACTTTGTCCCAACTGTTTGCCACTTTCTCCGGTTTGCTGAGATACTCCCCAAGTGAACCAGAAGCAAATGCCAAGCAGGGACTGAGCCCGCACTGGAGTTGCATCTAAGCAACTGTGTGCCAGTTTCCTCATCCTGAGGGGAACTGCAGCTGCCTCCTGAGCTAACAGGTGTCAGCTAACAGCTAACAGGTCATTCTCACTTGAAATTTGTAGCTATAATATTAGCCTCTGCTGCCCCTACTACCTGGAGCTCTAGCCCTGCCACAGGGCAAGGTCCTCTCCTGCTCTGCCCTTTCTGCATTTTTCCTTCAGTATCATACTTTGTCACTTTCTGTGTCTTCATTGGCTTTACCAAGTCCCTTTCAAGCTTTTTTTTTTTTTTTTTTTGATGGTGCTGAGGATTGAACCCAGGGCCTTGTGCATGCCAGGCAAGCACTCTGCCAGCTGAGCTATATCCCCAGTCCCCTTTCAAGCTTTCTGAGTGCAGAAAACACATCTCCTTCTGGCCCCCTTGATGTTCCTAGTGAAGAGGCGATATGGTCTAAGGAGCGAGCCTTTGCCAGAGCCATGCCCTGTCCTTGGCCATGTTGGGAAGCTGTCAAGTCCTTTTCTTTCTGGATGCTGCTGTCTCCTTGTCTGTAAAATAAATAGTAACAGAATCCCCTTAGTCTGGACCCTTTTTGGCCAATAACCAGGTTTCTACCCAGAAATCCCTTTTTGGCCAAAGGCAAATTGAAACAACCTTTTTTCTCAGTTTTAGCGTCACTTTCTCATCCCACTCGATCAAGGGTTAGGGTCTTCTTAGACTCAGATGGCACCAACAGGGATAAATAACAACTCAAAGATGACACTGACAGCTCAGCAGCTGGGGAAAAGGGAAAGGGATTGTTTTAGAAGTAGAAGGAGAACAAAGAGAGCAGGGATGTATAGGCAAGATCCTATAAGGCCTCCAAGGACAGTCCCCGGAGGCACCTGGGCCAGAGGCTGCCCCTGTAGATGTCACGCCTCCCATTCAAGTGCTTGGGGTTAAACTACAGTTGGGACTCAGGGACAATTGCTGAAGATCATGACCATCCCCTTTTTTTTTTTTTTTTTTTTCCCTTGGACAGTCTGTCCTGCCTTAGTGAAACTATTCTGACTCATGTGACTGTGTTTTATCACCAGGAAACGCCCAGAGGTTTTGACAGTGACAGAATGGAAGGCACCGGTTGTATGGGAAGGCACTTACAACAGAGCCGTCCTGGAAAATTATTATGCCAAACAGAAAATCACTGTGGGGCTGACGGTTTTTGCTGTTGGAAAGTAGGTATTGCTGACAAAATTGTCCTTGACTTTCTTGTTCTACTATCAAAATGGTTATGAGGGGACACATGGCTTCATGAAGTTGTTTAGGATTTCTCTGAATTATGTGGGACTGTTTCAGTCTTCTTTCTGCTAAGGCCCCTAAAACTGAGAACAAAACAATAGTAGGTGAGCCCCTGTTCCTGCCTCAGGGAGAGTGTCTCTGGTTGAAGGAAAAAAATGTCTGCAACACCCCGCCAAACCCAGAGTCAACAGCACACCTGCAGCCACCTCCTTCGCAATCTCCACTGCTTCCTTTGGAAATTTCAAAAGTGCCAGCTGCTAGATGGCCTAAAGCTACATCTTTCTTCTCCTTCTCTAAGGGGCAGGACCAAGGACAGAGGGATTTACAGCAAGTTCTAGATACACAGGAGCTACACACCATGATTTTCTATGCAGGAGCATTGCTGACCACCCATGGATTCCTTAGGTGCCTTCCACCTGATCATCCTGGAGGATTTGGCCCTGGGAGACCTGACTGGTCAGAACTTCCTATTTCTGAGGTTGGATAGATTCTGGTTCCAGCTTCCATTTCCTTGTTCAAAACACTTGATGAGGAAAAATTGTAGTCATTCTCACTTGAAATTTATAGCTAAAATATTAGTTTAAAAATATAATCTATTTTACCTATTTTTTTTTCTTTTGTACTAGGGGTTGAACTCTGGGGAACTCAACCCCTGAGCCACATCCCCAGCCCTATTATATATTTTATTTAGAGACAGGGTCTCACTGGAGTTGTTTAGGGCCTTGCTAAGTTGCTGAGACTGGCTTCGAACTTGAAATCCTCCTGCCTCAGTCTCCCAACCCACTGGGATTATAGGCATGAGCCACCATGCCTGGCCTCTTTTACCCTTTTTGAGAATTAAAATATTTTTTTCTAAAATACTGAAAGTTCAATTTTCCTGTTTTTTTCTGCCTTCTGGGCCTTTCCGTCTGTACCTTCTGGAAAAAGTCATGTGGTAAATTGATCCCCCAGCCTTGTACAATAAGAATTGAAAGTTCAGCTGACTGGAACTTGAGCACTGTCAAGGTAGGGCCTCAAAGAGAAATCTGTAAAGATCTGACAGTTCTCCAAAGACAAACTTCCCCAGCCCAAAGCCCAGCAGACACTGCAATCACTGTTGTGAACAATACTACTCAAGTTCTGATGTTGCTGAATGTGCCAATCCCAGCAGCCTAAGGGTGTCTCTACTAGAGAAGGGTGATTATGGAATTTTAACATTTTTAACAGACGATCTGTATTATGGGACAGAAGCCAATGCTTAACTCACCTAATTATTTGGCACAAAAGAGCAAAAGCCAAACACATTGTAGATTGATTTGATCCTGGCGTTCCCAAAAAGAATAGAACATTGCCCCTTGCCCCACAATGGCTTCAACCTTCCAATTGCAACGTTTCAAAACAAAACCATAAACCACACATTCTGGCAAAAGCACTATGTCTGCCAGGCAAGAGAGGGCTGTTTGTACTAGCAGCAATAAATCCCCACAAGAAGCAGATTTGGACTTTTAGGAGGTGTGAAGTTTGGTTTCTTTTCAAATAATGATGCATGGAGCCAACTGCAGTGCTTTAATCTCTAAGCAATCTTAAACCTCACAGTGACTCCCCTGCTCACCCTGGTATTGTTTCCCAAGCTTTGGGGGTACAATAGATTTTTCTTAAAATTCCATTATAAGGAAGAATGTCCTGGCCACCAGTCTCAGAGCCATGTCAAACTCCCTCTTTGTATTGCTCAGATACATGCTCTACTTTTAAAGAATCAATACTAAAAATCCCTGGGTTTCCAGATGCCAAGAATAAAAGCACCAATAATAAAATTTATTTTGGTAGCAAAGAAGGGAAATCCAAGCAGCCCAAAAAAAAGTGCCAGGTGCCAGTCACTGTTACTTCCAAACATTATGACTGGCTGGTAGTGTGATCGGTAGATTAAATTCAGTCCATATTCATCAGGGCTGAGTTTTAAATTTGGATGAGTTGTATTAAGCCATTTGACTTTCTTCTTCCCTATAAGCTCCAGAGCATAGCTTCACAAGACAGTCTGTAGCAAAACTGGTACAGCCACCTTGGAAGAAAGTTCAGCAGTTAATATACTAAATATACTATTACCATATGAGCTAGTGACTCTGCTCCAAGTGATTTGAAAATTATGTACACACCCACACACAAACATAAACACACACTGCATACTGATATTTTTAGGAGCTTTATTTAAATTGCTAAAACTTTGAAGCTACCAAGTTATCTTCTTATAGATAAATGGTAAAGTATATGGTGGTACATCCAGACAGTAGGATATTTGTTATTCAGTGCTAAAAAGAAATGAGCTCTCAAGCCATGAAAAGACATGGAGGAATGTCTTATGACTAAGTGAAAGAAGCTAGTCAGAAATGGTTACATAATGTAACTTCTAATTCTATGACATTCAGGAAAAGGCAAAACTATGGAGACAGATAAACAATCAGAGGTTGTGAGGATGTATCAGTGTAGGTTCATCCTACTACTTTGGTGCAAGGATGTCCATAGTGGGGCAGGCTGTATGTGTGCAGTAGGAGGTATATGGGAACTCTCAATACTTTCAATTAAATTTTGCTCTGAACTCAAACTTGCTCTAAAAAGTAAAATCAATTATTTTTTAAGAGAAAACATAGTTAAAATAAGGTAAAATCAGAGGTTGATTTTATGATGGTGGTGTCTAGACAGTGGATTGGTGTTTTGGATGACCAACAAGATGGCTGTGGGACATTGAAGGAGATCCACATTCCATACTTCATTCTGTGTATCACAGAAGAGAGTGAGACAGTGAAGTTGGCTAGGCTTAATCAAACACAGAGGTAGAAGAGATGGTGCCATGATCTGGTTAATGCATCCCTAATGGACCCAAGGGTCATATTGCCTTTGCATCTGATCTGGCAGTAGTAATACTGAGGTGTAGATGGGGGTTTTTGAAGGAGGTTCAAGAATTAGCACCCCCCCTTGGACTGCCCAAAGTCTGAACCAGTTGATAAACAAGACTGAAGAATTAGAAAAACTGGCACCTGCAGCATTAGAAACAACCGGCCTTGACTAGAACCCATACCACTAAGCCTACTGCAGGGCAGAGCAACTAAGAACACATGCTCTTTCAGACTTCCTAGCTTCCAGAAGAGCAAGAGGACAGGGCTGTGCATGCCTAATTGCTCTTCCAAAATTGACAATCAAATAAGTCATTCCACTTCCCCCATACTGAGTGACTGAACGATGGCAAGTAGCCAGAAATGTTACACTATCAGATGTCCCTTTACATGATAGTATACATCTATGTGGGGAGATATCATTCCCTTCTAAATGTAAAATGTAGATAATTGGATCATAGTGGCATGTGGTCTCCTGAAAGAATTCAAAGATTAAATTTATCCTTTCCTCTTTGTTTCAGATACCTTGAGCGTTACTTGAAGGAGTTCATAGTATCTGCTGATAAGTTCTTCATGGTTGGCCATAAAGTCATATTTTACATCATGATAGATGATCTCTCCAGGATGCCTTTGATAGAGTTGGGTCGTCTGCGTTCCTTCAAAGTGTTTGAGATCAAGCCTGAGAAGAGATGGCAGGACATCAGTATGATGCGCATGAAGACTATTGGGGAGCACATCTTAACCCACATCCAGCATGAGGTTGATTACCTCTTTTGCATGGATGTGGACCAGGTCTTCCAAGATAATTTTGGTGTAGAGACTCTGGGCCAGTTAGTGGCTCAGCTACAGGCCTGGTGGTACAAAGCAGATCCTGATGAATTTACCTATGAGAGGCGGAGTGAGTCAGCAGCATATATTCCATTTGGAGAGGGGGATTTTTATTACCATGCAGCCATTTTTGGAGGAACACCCATTCAGGTTCTCAACCTCACCCAGGAGTGCTTTAAGGGAATCCTCCAGGACAAGAAAAATCACATTGAAGCTGAGTGGCATGATGAAAGCCATCTAAACAAGTATTTCCTTCACAACAAACCTACTAAAATCTTATCCCCAGAATTCTGCTGGGATTATCATATAGGTTTACCTCCAGATATTAAAGCTGTCAAGATATCTTGGCAGCAGAAAGAGTATAATTTGGTTAGGAATAATGTCTGATTTCAAATTGGGCCAATAGGTTTCTGAATTTGAGAGAGTATTATTCTGGCTAGTTCCTCAGAAAAATAACACTTAATGTTAACTTTAAAAAAAATACTAACAAAACACCAACATGGCAGACACATACTATTCCTCCTTGTACTTTGAGCCTTGTAATATGGAAGAATTAATCTATGGTAATCAGATGTAAATTCCCAGTAATTCCTTCTCTTCTGGGTTTAGGGAAAATATTATTAGCTAAATCAAAAAGAATTTGCCATAGGCAAAGGAAAGCCAGAACATTCTATGTGTGTCAGATAATGTACTGAAGAAAAGTGTGCCAAGGGAAGTGTTTGGCAACAAGATAAGTTGTGTGTGGAGGGGTGTCTGTCCCTTTGATTCCAATGTCTTCCTGGTTTTGGTGTGTCTAAAGCAGCTTAGAGTTTATTTGTAGCCAAAGAACCCTAGTAAGAACACTGCCTACCTTGGCAATCCTCAAAGGCCTCAAAGCTGATTGCCTTGGGCCATTTGTAATCCATATTTTTTCTCATCAGGATGCTGTTTGGCTTCCATGGAAAACAGTGGAGGAGATTCCCAATGGATATCACTGTGGTGCATGTTCAGAGTCCCAGGGAATCTGATGAGGCAGTGGGCTCAGCTTTTACACGAAACAAAGCCTCAACAATGAGTTTGCCATGAAATAGCAAAGAGAGGGGCTAACCACTGTGAGGCCATGCCACTCTGGAGGGACACAGGGCATGACCTTGGCATTTAAATTACTCTGAAGATGCAGGCACCAAACAGGAGGCATTCAGCCTCCTCAACCCCAAAGAGCTGAATGGAAGGTGCTTCTTGTGTTTCTCAAGTCATATTTGGCCTACCAGACTTGTATCTTCAGCACGCTGGTGAGGGGAAGTGGATGGACTCAGCGAAGGGAAAGGCACACAATGGACTGAAGAGGCCTGTGGGGACCAGGGCTCATCAGAGGACGATCTGCCAGTATCTGGTCCAAGCACCTGTTCTAAATCTCAGGGTTCCTCAGCCTATCACATCCTAACTTGGAGGGATGACATCAAGGAGTGGACTGGAGAAAAGTCCTCCTGTTGAGTGACCCCTCACTTTCCCCTGTTCCATCTGCACTATGGAAGTGTAACAACCAGATGTATTTTACAAAATGGTTAACTGATTTTATAATAAAAGCATGAGGGGATAGCTATAGGAGGCCCAGTCATCATGACTAAAGAGCTGACCATCAGTACCCTGCTCTAGGAGAAGTGGTGACATCCTACACATTGTACGTTAAAGCAAATCAATGTAAAAGAAGTTGGTAGGCCATATTTACATATGCACATATATTTATATTTTGCTTTTGTTCCTGTTTGGATCATTCATTTCCATTTTTAAGCAATTTATTTGAAGAGCCATTGCTTGGCTTGATAAACAGCAAAAGGGACCTCTTTGATGAAATGAAACCTACATTTTCTCTACTATTTCACTGTGCCTTCAATTGTTGCAAAAAAAAAAATACATTCCACAAATACTAAAAATTCTGAATTAGTGGACTTTAAAAAAGAAAATGGAGACCGCACATTAGTTAAGAATCTTGCTTCTCTTTTATTCAAGATATGTTGGAACCAGTCTAGACTAGGGAGAGTTTAATGGTTTAAATCCTGAACCAAAGAAGTAATCTATCCTGAAAGTTTAGAGAAAAGGGGTAAAGGGATTTTGAGGGAATTTTTTTTAAATTTAAATTCACTTAAATTTAAATCCTCAATGGACAAATTCAAGATCTAATTAATGATAATGCTTAAACACTTTTTAATCAAATTTCTGATTTATAATTGAATAAATTATTTTCTCAGTATATTCTGGTCTGGTCATGGATTATGCATTTTCTCCCAAAGATGTTCAGAATGGTCAAATATAGAACTTTAGGTTCTTAGACTCTGAAAAGCCCTCACACCTTTCTGAAAATGTGTGTTGCATTACAAAGATAATACAAAGAACAGGCTGCAGATCCAGCCCCAACTTTTAAAAATAACAAATGCTTATATTGAGCTTTTCAAAGTGATGTACTGAGATAATTAATTGCCAGTGGAAAGACCATTGGGCAGAGGCTTGACCCTGAGGCTCAGGGTGGGGCGCCAGGGCAGAGGAAGAAAACAATCCTAGAACTATATTTGGGAGTTATTAGTTCTGACCTCTGGGGAACACAGCTGGCCAAGGGGGAAAGGATGGCTTTCTAGCGAGTCTGGGTAAAAGTATTTGTAATATGAAAATTAAATGTGGCCAGGCTGACATAGTGAGATGCACAAGGTATGATTTCTTCATTGTAGAGAATTAGTCGACTATATAAATGAGAAAAATCAGATTCAGAAAAGTTAAGCCACCCAGTTAGTAAGTGACTGAGCTGAAATTTGAACCAAGAAGCTCACAAGGTCACAGTGTGTTGACACAGTAAATACACAGGGCTATGTTTCAGATCAGTGTAAATGCAACTTGTAAAAGAATCTTATAAAGGGTATTTTTGGTCATAAGAATATCTTAAAAGCTAGATATCTTCCTAGGCCTGCCCTATGTCCCACTTTTAATGCATTAAACCTGCTCCAAATGCATTAAGTTAAACTGCATCATGTAAAAAAAAAAAGTTTGTTATTCTTATCTTTATATTGTGCATAAAGAGCTATGTAAGCACCACATGCTTGCACTGGGCTGTTACTCTATGGCATTGCCTAGGACTGCCTCATCAGGAATCAGGGTGGGTGGATGGGACCATCATCATACTGTTACCACTGTTGACCTGTGAGGAGTCCTTGCTTCCCCAATGTTGAAGTATAACACCAGAGATGCATGCCGAGGTAAGTTTAGAGTGGAAAATAGAAGTTTATTAAAGGACAGCAGAAAAGATTTCTCCTGGAGGAAGAAGGGGACCCAAGACTTGGAATCCGTGGAAGTGCGGTTGTCTCTCCATTTTATAGTTTTCGGTGATGGAATGTAGGTAGGAAGGCCCTAGGGGTGGGACACAGGTGGGCCAAAGAAGTAATCTGGGCACTTCGGAGTCAGCATCTTCAAGTTTGCTGTTCATTAACATTTCTTTGGGATGGGCTATCTTCAAATCTGTTGGAGGCTGTTTCCTGGACTTCATTAACATTCCAGGAGAGTTGCTCAACTTTTCAAGAAATTCATTCTCAATATGGCCTCCACTTTAGATTTTACTCCATATTAGACCCGATTTACCTAACTACACTCACTACCTAATTTTAAATTTGGCTTCAATACCTTCTTCCACTCCACCTCAACTGTGGAACTACATGCAGCTGGGAGGGTATGAAGATCTTTTCTTTGTCCTTGGAATGACACATTTGGATCTCTCCTAGCCAAAGTCACTATGTGGGAACCTCAGCTCTGGCAATACTTTTAGATACAAACATTTATTAAGTGTACTTTTTATCAAACATGCCCTATGTAAAGGAATTAAAAAGGCATACTCACAGGCATGAAAAGTCACAGAATGTGTAACACGCTCTGTATAAATTTTCAGGAGAGATAATAGGGCTAAGTGGGGATTGATTGGTGTCTAAGTCTCAGATCTGAAAAGGTGCAGAGCTAGGATTTAAACCCAGGACTGCTGACTCTAGATCCTGTGGTCTTTTGACATCTGCAGATTACCTTCCTCACTGTCTCTTACGCATATGCTTTAACCACCTTATTTTTGAAATTTGGGGACACCGAATGAATCACTATCAAAAATTCTGTTTTTGTTTTGTTGTTGTTGTTGGGCATTATAAAGAATTGAGCAGAAAACTTAAAAACTTTTCAAAGTCAGGGTGTTAAGTCTATAGTTGGAGACAAGGAAACTTGAAACCTGAGCAAGGTATGTGATGTAAATATATACTGGACTAGGAAAGTATGGAGGAAGAAAGGGTGTCAGGCAGGTGTAGCCCCAGAGGTGCTGAGTCTGAACTGAGCTTTGAAAGAAGAGAAGGGACCACTGTGAAGCGTGGATGGAATGAGAGAAGCAGCAGGAGTGAAGCACAGAAAGTTGTCATAAGGTTTTCATAGAAATCTACAAAAATGGTGCTAGGGCTTTGGGACTGGTGAGATCACCTGGAAGAGGCTGTGTGAAAAGAAGCAAAGACCATGTAAAGGCTCTGGCTGGCTAGTGACACAGTCACCCAGGAAGTATGGCTCTCTCTCCCTTCCCTGCAGTCTGGTGTCCTTTAGGGAATCCCTGAGATTTCTATGGAAACAGGTGCCACAATTGGAGTAAGTGATCTAGGCTACATCCATTGGCACTTTACATTCCCCTGGTGACAATGACTAATTCAGGGGTTGCCAAGTGACCTAAATGAGCCCAACAAAGTGAATTTTAAGTCTTTTGCTAGAAATGAGGAAGCCTGTGAACTGGGAGCTGCCCTATGAGGGACTGACAATAGAGAAGGAAGAGCAGGGAAGCTAGGGAACCCACTCTCCGGGACAACCTTGGCCAGATTCAACCTTCACATCTACACTGCCTGTGGGCTTTTTCAAGTGTGCAACCAGTAAAGTCCCACTATTGTTTAAGCCAGTTGGAATTGGCCTTTCTCTCACCTGTTAATGAAAATATTCCCATTGAATCACTCTCAGATTGTTAGTTCCTTAAAGGCAGGACTGTCATCTGTCTTTGCATCAACCCCAGGACCTATTAGGTCACCTAGCTCAGAGGCAGTGCTTAAACAATGAGGTCATTTAATAAACAAGTGGATGATGGCATCATGCCTCATAAGAAATGTTTTTCCTTAATTTTTAATTTTGATTATCAATTGTTATTAAAAAGGTGGATGGTTTTCTATGTGGCACCTGGAAGTTTTCCTCCTGTGGTGCACATATGGGGACCAGGAGTTGCAGGAGTTACATTTGCTTCCTCAGCCTAGAACAGTGGCTGTCAACTAGGAATCATTTCCCTTCCTGCCCCTTGGGACATTTGGCAATGGCAATGTCTGGAGGCATTTTTGGTTGTCACAATTGGTTGGAGGAGTGCTATGGGCATCTAGTGGTATAAACAAGGAAAACTGCTGAACAACTTATAATGCAGAAGACAGCCCCCACAACAAAGAATCAAGTGTCATTGGTACCGAGATCAAGAAACCCTGGCATTAAGTTCTCTTAGACTTCATTAAGAAACACTGGGGAGCCAGTAATAATATTTGCCTCTCCATACCCTGGGGACAGTCCTTTGTAGACATCAAGAGTCTCTAGCTCACCTCCTTTTTTTCCATTAAAATTCACAGCTAAGGTGAGGATGTAGGGGATAAGGATACTTATACATTGTTGATGGGACTGCAAATTACCACATCCACTTTGGAAAGCAGTGTGGGGATCTCTCAAAAGACTAAGATTGGAACCATCTTATGACCCAGCCATCTCATTTTTTGGCATTTATCCAAAAGAACTAAAATCAGCATTCTATTGTGATACATGCATACCAATGTTTATAGTAGCACAATTCACGATAGCCAAGTATGGAACTAGCCTAAGAGTCAACAGACAAATGTGTTGAGAGCCACAGCCGAAGCAGCCCCAGCAAACTTCCAGCTGATTGGCTCACCTCAGCCCCAGCAACCAGCTGATTCACTCCTCTGTGGTGATGCTCATTGGGCTGTTTCCCCGCCCTTTCAGAACACAGAGCTGCTCATTGGGGGACTCTTTTGGCTCTGCCCACATAACCCAGCCAATCGGCCTCAAGAGCGGGAAGAGATTGGGGAGGGTGCTCGCAGGGAGTGCCTGCGGTGGGCAGTTGGGCTCTGAAGGAATTCCTGAAGAGCTCGTGTGGTGCAGCGTGTGTGTTCTAAAAATAAAGTTCGTTTCTGCTTGATAAGTGGCTTGTGAATTGTGCCCAGCCAGACTGCGGCATTTGGTGGCCCAGACAGGGAACGCCTGAAGCTTGGGGGTAAGTGAAATTGCTCGCCCCTAAGGAAGAGCGAGAGAATGGGTGACCATTTTAAAAAAAACAATGTGTTCTTGTTTTGATTTATTTTGTTTTTATTTTAAGTTGCCTGTTCCTAGAACTTTTTCAGGCAAACTGGGGAAAGTGGTTGGCTCAGGGTTCGAAGTTGTTTGGCCCAAAGGAAGAGATAAAGATAGACCATGAAAATACATTTCAAGAAAAAATAGGAAAATTGATACGATTTTTTGTTCTGTTTTTGTTTCATTATGTTTTGGTTTTGTTTTGTGTTATCTTGTTGGGTTGCATTATCTTTATAGTAGATTAGAAATTAGTAAAAAAACAAACTAAAAGAGTGTTAAGTAAATTGTTAGAGGTTCAGACTATGGTAGAAAACCTGTTAGATCAAGCAAAAGAGAAAGTCTCTCGAGTTAGACAGAGGAAGAAAATTTAAAGGAGGAAGGACTATCAGGGAAAAAGTTACAACAGGAGACTGCTACTAACACCGTACTATCACCAGAGGGCGTAAGTGTCCAACCAACAGCTCTGCCTCCATATGCTGGGAGGCCCCCAACCCCCGTAGTTGATAGATGGGATACTGAGACAGGACCTCAAAGATTAGCATGCCCTGTATTTGAGCAGGCAGGAGGGCAGCGAATTCACCACATTTTAGATTTCAAAACAGTGAAGCAGCTAAAAGAGGCTGTAACAACCTATGGTCTTCAAGCACCCTTTACTGTAAACATGGTCGAATCCATTACTAATTTGAGCATGACACCAGCAGATTGGACTAGTATGTGTAAAGCTGTGCTAAATGGAGGACAATACCTGCTATGGAAGGTTGCCAATGAGGAATTTTGCACGGAGACAGCTAGGCAAAGTGCAGCAGCCGGTTATCCTCAGAGAAATCTAGATATGTTGTTAGGAAAGGGACCTTATGA